GTGGTACCTATACATGCAGGGCTCCCTATAACACAGTCGTGGTACCTATACATGCAGGGCTCCCTATAACACAGTAGTGGTACCTTTACATACAGGGCTCCCTATAACACAATAGTGGTACCTATACATGCAGGGCTCCCTAAAACACAGTCGTGGTACGCATACATACAGAGCTCCCTATAACACAGTAGTGGTACCTATACATACAGGGCTCCCTATCGATTTGGAATTCGGCACAGCTCTCCAGAATCGGAAAGAAAGACTAAGTGTTCCCAAGTACAGCCATAAAGAGGCTATGTTGCAGTGGACAAAACAAACAAGCCTCGAGGAGACTAATAAGCAGTGGACAAAACAAACCAGCCTTGAGGAGGCTAAGAAGCAGTGGACGAAGAAAACAAGCGCCCACACCATGTCGGATCTACTTATCGAGCCTACGGAGATCGGAAGGGTATGTGTGGCGTGCAGAAGCTGCGCGTATGATGTGTGTGGGGTGCTCACTATACTGCACAGCAGCACACCCACAAACACATAGGTACAGACGCGTATACAGGTTACTCTATCATGTATATTTTCCCATTTACCTGATTTGGTTTTAGGGTTTTAGGGTTTCCTTTCTCACCACTCGTATTCTCACAGTCAGTATGTTTCATTCTCTCTCTCCTCCCAACACACCTCGTAACACCGCAGGGCACCCCCAACCGCAACCTGCCGTGGCACGTGCCACCATGCACAGACTTTCCGGAACGGCCCAACCTCAAACCATCGGCACTCCGACCCAACCAGTAGGTGAAGAGTGTACCCAATGATCATCGCACTATACAGCGCATAAGCACGTCCTCTATCGAAACTTAGATCCAGCTGAGTCGTGAATCTACCTGTCAGCGCTTTCCAGATACCTCGCTTAGTGGGTTTAAAGAAGGGCTGTCTCACATGTTTATATGGCATACAACTCGGAATGGGCTCATACTTACACATCAGTAAAACATCATACATACCAATACTTATACATCAGTATAACATCATACATACCACTGTCCGCGCAGATACGGTTTAGAAAATTTTATCAGCGAACCAATGGTACATTTCGAAATTTTAATTTAAACCCACTGAATCGAGGGCTTGCGCACATACAGGAAGTCAACGCACAGTCTGTACATCATAAAGGCCCTCAACGAGCTAGGCGTGTACTATCGGTTGGATGCCGGATCACTTCTGGGCAGCTACAGACACGGAGGGTTCATCCCTGCCGACAAGGACTTAGACATTGTACTACCCGTGCGACGCAATCTGCATCTCGTCGGTGCGGACCACTATTGCCAAGGTATATTTGAATGCCGGTTGTAGTATGGGAAGAATGTATGTATGATCAAGGTATTTGAATAGACTGTCCGAAAGCTTTAAATGATCGTATAGTTGGAGGTGCGCGTGTCGTAGACAGTACCTATAGGTTATGTGATACGTGTATATGAGACGACGTACATAATACATATAGTATACGTGGCATGTGTTGTATGCTAACGTAGCTATCTATGCAGAAAGCAGAATTAATCTGAATTGATCTTTTTCGGTACAATCGCTGTGGTCTCATGTGGTACAGGCTGTTGGTTGTGTCACAGGCTGTGTGTTGAATGGCGTAATGGGTGTAGTCTCATGTGGTATAGGCTGTTGGTTGTTGGTAGTGTCACAGGTGGTGTGTTGAATGGTGTAATGAGTGTCGTGTCATGTGGTATAAGCTGTTGGTTGTTGGTTGTCTCACATGTGGTATGTTGAATGGGGGTGTGTTGAATGGTGTAATAGGTGTAGTCACATTTGATATAGGCTGTTGGCTGTTGGTTGTGTCACAGGTGGTGTATTGAATGGGGGTGTGTTGAATGGTGTAATGGGTGTAGCATATGATATAGGCTGTTGTTTGTTTGTTTTGTCACAGGTGGTGTAATGAACGGTGTAATGGGTGTAGTATCATGTGATATTGACTGTTTGTTGTTGGTAGTGTCACAGGTGGTGTGTTGAATGATGTAATGAGTGTAGTCTCATGTGGTATAGGGTGTTGGTTGTTATTAGTGTCACAGGTGGTGTATTGAATGGTGTGTTGAATGGTGTAATGAGTGTAATCTCATGTGATATAGGCTTTTGGTTGTTGGTTGTGTCACAGACGGTGTGTTGAATGGTGGAATGGGTGTAGTCTCATGTGGTATAGGCTGTTTGTTGTTGGTAGTGTCACTGGTGGTGTGTTGAATGGTGTAGTGAGTGTAGTCTCATGTGGTATAGGCCGTTGGTTGTTGGTTGTGTCACAGGTGGTGTGTTGAATGGTGTATTGGGTGTAGTCTCTTGTGGTATAGGCTGTTGGTTGTTGGTTGTGTCACAGACGGTGTGTTGAATGGTGGAATTGGTGTAGTCTCATGTGGTATAGGCTGTTTGTTGTTGGTAGTGTCACAGGTGGTGTGTTGAATGGTGTAGTGAGTGTAGTCTCATGTGGTATAGGCTGTTGTTTGTTGGTTGTGTCACAGGTGGTGTGTGGAAGGGGGGTGTGTTGAATAGTGTAGTGAGTGTAGTCGCATGTGGTATAGGCCGTTGGTAGTGTCACAGGTGATTATTCTCTGCTCGGTGGTGAGTGATACATACAAAGTAAACTACAAGGTAAAGTAAAGTACAAGGTAAAGTAAGTTACAAGGTAAAGTAAAGTACAAGGTAAAGTAAAGTACAAGGTAAAGTAAATTACAAGGTAAAGTAAACTACAAGGTAAAGTAAATTACAAGGTAAAGTAAAGTACAAGGTAAAGTAAAGTACAAGGTAAAGTAAATTACAAGGTAAAGTAAATTACAAGATAAAGTAAACTACAAGGTAAAGTAAAGTTCATTGTATAGTAAACTACAAGGAGCACGAAGGGTGGCTCAATACACGTGCGTGTCAGAGAATGTTCCGATTGGATAATGAAGTAACCTGCGTGTTGTGTGTACACTTCATGTTGCGAGTACCGTCATCGGTACAGGCATCTGTTCGATAGAGGAGAATACTTTAGACCTGCTGATATAGTAGAATATCTTATTTGTATATATATATATATAGTAGAATAGCTATTTTATATTTATATATATATATATATATATACATATATATAAATAACTATACCAATTGATCATAGTATAGTCATATGGCCTTTGAGTCTGTGCAAAGTTGTATGCACCCATTTGTTTGGCCCGAACGCATGCGGAGAAGAAGATGGTAGTAATACAATTAAGGAGTACATAAGCTTTTAGAAAATAAATACGGACAACATAAGCGTATTAAATAATAGATATGGACAAGATAAGCATGTTAAATAACAAATACGGGCAAGATAAGCGTAAAAAATAACAAATAATGACAACACAAGCGTATTAAATAACAAATAAGGACAACATAAGCGTATTAAATATCAAATAAGGACAACATAAGCATGTTAAATAACAAATACGGACAAGATAAGCGTATTAAATAACAAACAAGGACAACATAAGCGAATTAAATAACAAACAAGGACAACATAAACGTATTAAATTACAAATAAGGACAACATAAGCGTATTAAATAACAAATAAGGACAACATAAGCGTATTAAATAGCAAATAAGGACAACATAAACGTATTAAATAACAAACAAGGACAACATAATCGTATTTAATATCGAATAAGGACAACATAAGCGTATTAAATAGCAAACAAGGACAACATGAGCGTATTAAATAACAAATAAGGATAACATAAGCGAATTTAATAACAAATAAGGATAACATAAGCGTATTAAATACTGAATAAGAACAGCATAAGCGTATTAAATAAAAATTGAGGTCAACATATAAAGCGTTTTTCGTCGCGATTCAACGGTAACGGTAAAGTTGGTCGCTATAATCGACAACGCTCGAACTAAAAGTGCCATACCACTTTTACTACACCCCTGCGAACAGAGATGGAGGAAGGATCAGACACCAACACAACGACAAAGGTAACGTAATGTGTGCGGATATGTGTGTTGGAAGGAGCCTTTTCATAACTAGACATCACGAATGCACTTTGAGAGTGCTCTATGTAGGTTGTGGCGCTCCTTCTTCGGTATCCCGTGCAGCTACAGTGTGTCTTCGCGCGGTAGTACTTTGTGCGAAAGTGACACAGTAGAGTTGGCATGGCTACTTTGTGCGAAAGTGACACAGTAGAGTTGGCATGGCTACTTTGTGCGTAGGTGACTTTGTGCGTCAGTGACACAGTAGAGTTGGCATGGCTACTTTGTGCGTAGGTGACTTTGTGCGTAGGTGGCACAGTAGAGTTGGCATGGTTACTTTGTGCGTAGGTGACTTTGTGCGTAGGTGACACAGTAGAGTTGGCATGACTACTTTGTGCGTAGGTGACTTTTTGCGTAGGTGACACAGTAGAGTTGGCATGCGCCCCGTCTAATCTGTATCAACCTGACTGGCAGAATACGCCTACAGGTACCCATCGTTCTGCGAGAACTCACTTAAACGATAATGTAAACGTATCAGATTTTCAAAGATTTTCTGCGCAAAATCTCTTAAACGATACTATAAACATATCCGATTTCAAACGATGTTATAAACGTATCAAATTTTAAACGATAAAATAAACGCATCAGATTTTCAAGGAGACAGGTACGCTCTGCGGCATGACTGACTACCAATGGGCCGAGAAGGTTTTCGTCCCCGTTTTACAATCGTTTCTGAACGAAACCGGCATAGAAGTCAGGTATGTATGTCACCATAGAAGTCAGGTATGTATGTCACCATAGAAGTCAGGTGTGTATGTCACCATAGAAGTCAGGTATGGATGTCACCGACGGGTTCCCATATACAGTATGAGTGGCCGGGTATTCTCGGGTGGAGATTAGGCACGCGCTGTATAGTCACAGCTGTGTCGACTCCAGAATATTCGCCAGGATGTGTCTACTATGTCTACTATGTCTACTATGTGTACTATGTATACTATGTGTACTATGTGTACTTGCTCCTATACTAGGGTATCATCTAGATATCACGGCTGTTACGTATGCGTCCGCCATACCCTGTAGGGTGTTGTTTTGTTATCTACACCAACAACTCTGCCGTGACCTGTATGTTAATGTGCGACACTCCACTGTTTTCTCGATGTGTGTACGGGATACGCGTACGAGAAAGAGTTCGGTACGCTCTTCACTTGCAAGTACGCCCGATGCTAGCAACGCACAGTACTGGCACCAGTTGCAACAGAGAGTTATCTCGATATCAAATGATGTTATTGTTGTTGTTGGAGTATGCACACGATTCTCCGTATATACACATGCGGACGGCGCGTGCCACAGCATTTTCGGGTGGCAACTTCCCAAAAGCCAATGCTGAAGTATTGGAAAGGTGGCGGTTGTAGTTTGGAAGTTCACTTGGTAGTTCTGTGCTTGAGTCTTCTTTGGGACAATTCCTTATTCCTTTAAATATATGCCAACTATAACAGTAGATGAGGATTGCAGCACCACCACAGCCTATTGTAGTTTGAAAGTTCACTTGGTAGTTCTGTGCTTGAGACTTCTTTGGGACAATTCCTTATTCCTTTAAATATATGCCAACTATAACAGTAGATGAGGATTGCAACACCACCACAGCCTATTGTAGTTTGAAAGTTCACTTGGTAGTTCTGTGCTTGAGTCTTCTTTGGGACAATTCCTTATTCCTTTAAATATATGCCAACTATAACAGTAGATCAGCATTGCATCACCTCCACATGTCAAGTCTGTACCCGAACAGGGCACGAAAACGGTAGCGGTACACCAGACACGAGCCGTGGTAGTACTGTGCCATAACACATTATACATTAATATCGTTACAAAACAAGCACTCAAAGCTCATATGTAAGCAGAGTTAGATATACAAGCATTGGCGGTTAGAATAGTAGGCATGCATGTGTACTTGCACGTATCCGTGGTGTACAAGACGGTTCGTGCTATGGTATGATTTTTCTGTCGATTCCTTCTCCGCTCAGACACGAGAAAGCTCTCGCCGCATTCCATACCACAACCTCTACCTGAAATACACATTGCGGCAAGGATAACCACCTGAGTTGACTGTGTCTTGGTACATACGATGTACAGGCAGTAGCATATGCGGGTGTATGTGATACAGATACCGATGTAGATACAACACGCATGAGACCTGGACGTACCCCATAACCATATGCCCACCCTTCCCGTCGCACTCAGACTAAGGCTGCCAGAGCATAAAGGTCAACTCAGGCTGATTACACGCTGTGCTTCGGAAACCTTCAATGTGGAAACCCTCGGAAACAACACAATGTGGGGAGGTGCCTGGAAGCCGATGACATGTGTGCGCATGGCGGCTGAGATATTCCTGGAATTCAATTCGCATCAAGGGGATGGGCTGTGCACATGTCCCTGGTACAACACGCACGCTCTCTGTCCGCTCGATAGCAAACAGCATCTCATTAGGAAGTATGTAGGATTGAATAAAGCCTGTTCCGCACACTGTCGAATATATATATATATATATATATCACACTATCGCATATATAAATATATATATATATATATATCAGTGTTTATACACACATATATATATATATAACACAAATGTCTGTTAAGGCGAATCGGAAATACATGTATACGCATACAATAGACACACACTGTAAACAGTATACCTACATACATATAGCTCTTAAAATATGTACTTGCATATAACTCTTAGAGAAACATTGTCTACATTTATATTTCTACATACTGGATGCTGCAATCCTTGTAGGTTCACCACGGGCTTTGAAACACCCGACCACCAACTCGATGACGCGCTCGAACGGAGACACGACCCACAACCGGTTGACCTGGAACTGGTTAAGCAAGAGCGGTTGATGCCAAAGTGCTCTGTCCACGAGGAAGAGGATAAAGGTACAAGCTCTATGGACCGGTATATAGTTTGGTGCATATTAAGTAGATACGTACAGTTATGCAGTCGGATTGCGAGAGAAGTGGGTTTGCATATCCAACATCCATAAGGATGTGTATACTACGCCTGGAGAAGATCTAAGCCTAAAACACACACCCTGACGGGGGAGATATAGGAGTGATTGTATGTTTACTCATGCCCTCATGTATATGTAGAGCCACTTGATTCTATCCTGCGGTGGGGCTAGGGTTCGTACTTCCCTCGTAGTTCGGTATAGGGTGGAAGTGTACATCTTTATATATGTGTGTATCAATAATCCATACATATCTACGTCACAAAGTGTTTTAGTGTACAAGTACATTACATGTTTAATACAGGTGTGTATCAGGTGTGTATCAATCACCAATACATATCTGCATTAATCGTTCAGTATCAAGGAGACAAGTATGTGATGGGCAACTACACAGCACACACTTAGATGCGTAGTGCACGGGGTCGATTGTACGATGCATCACACGTGTTTCAGTGTACACATACCATTACATGACATGATTATACATGTGTGTGTCGATCATTCCTACACATCTGCATGGCACGTGTTTCAGTGTACACATACATTACATGGCATGTTTATACATATGTGTGTCAATCATTCCTACACATCTGCATCACACGTGTTTCAGTGTACACATACATTACATGGCATGCTTATACATATATGTGTCAATCATTCCTACACATCTGCATCGCACGTGTTTCATTGTACACATACATTACATGACATGTTTATGCACGTGTATATCAATTATACATACACATCTGCATCACCAGTGTTTCCGTGTACATACATCGTATCAAATAGAAGCTGTACTATGGAGTGATATCGCATGTGCGTGATATGCAGGGTGTATATCTAAGCCACGGACGTTCACTTCCAACCAATAGGTGAGCGGCAACGAATGAAACAGAGTACGGCGATGTACCGCCCATTACTCAGGTATGTTGCTACGGCGTTTGGATTGGAGGGTGTTGAGAGTGTCTGTAAACACAAAGCCGGGCTGGCTGCCGCACATGGTGCTAGGGTGTTACTAGAGTGGTTCATTGTCATAAACATGGTGCTAGGGTGATACTAGAGTGGTTCATTGTTATGAACATGGTACTAGGGTGTTACTAAAGTGGTTCATTGTTATAAACATGGTACTAGGGTGTTACTAAAGTGTTCTATTGTTTTTAAACATGGTGCTGAGGTGTTACTAAAAAAATTATTGTTTTAAACATGGTGCTAGAGTGCTACTAGAGCAGTTTATTGATTTAAACATGGTACTAGGGTGTTACTAAAGTGGTTCATTATTATAAACATGGTACTAGAGTGTTACTAAAGTAGTTCATTGTTATAAACATGGTGCTAGGGTGTTACTAAAATGTTTTATTGTTTTAAACATGGTGCTAGAGTGATACTAGAGTAGTTTATTGTTTTAAACATGGTACTAGGGTACCTATAACTATAACAGACATATTACTATAACAAAACACATACAGCGGATCACACCACTACATAGCGCGATGGCTGCTCTACTGATAATATCTATATGTTTATAGGCAAGTCTTTACATCATTGCGACGGGATATTTTGGGCGCGACAGAGACATCGATAGACACGTGAACTCACGTTCACACAGGACGCTTCAATATAGAATCATGTAGACGAATACGTTCACATTCCATACAAATATATCTTCAAGCAACCGAAGTATATACATAGAAAAGACTTGTTTAGCATTTGTACCAAATCTTTGATGAAGTATATGGGCAAACCCTGCACGCCACAGCTTTAAAGATGCTCAACGAGCGTACGCTGAAGCGGGGATCACATTCGACTACCTGGATGTGTCCAAACCACGGGCGAATCTACGGCATCACATTGACCGGTTGAGGACTGTTAAAACGGCGTTGAACGCAATGAGGTGAGTCTCTCTCGCATGCACGGTAACTACAACCTCGGCCTATGCACGTCATCGCCAGTGGATGCCAGACCAAACCTTAATCAATCCTAATATTAATTTAAAGTTTACCGGCTCGGTGTTGTTTCATCTGTGGCTGGTAACTTTTTAAGATTCCTGCCGTGTTCTTCTCTCCGTGATCCGTGTCATGTATGTGCTGCACTCAATCACACACTCTGCTGACACACACGCACACGTTACGTGTCACATATGTACTACAGTCAATCACACACACGTTACGTGTCACATATGTACTACACTCAATCACACACTCTGCTGACACACACACACACGTTACGTGTCACATATGTACTACACTCAATCACACACTCTGCTGACACACACGCACACGTTACGTGTCACATATGTACTACACTCAATCACACACTCTGCTGACACACACGCACACGTTACGTGTCGCAGATCGGAGCGAAGGCGGAGGCAGTGGGAACAGCACCTGAACAACACACCTCAGCCAAGGAAAGCCAAGAGGCTGCTCAAAGCGGGCGAGAAGCGACACCAGTCTGACATGGTAAGTAACACACCCACCAGCTGATACGCTCAATTGTGATCAATGGCTGGGCTGTGGGGTGTGCGTGCATGCATGAACAACTACACTGACAAGCACCCTAGCCACGTAAGGTGCATGCGAACTGTTTTTGTTGTATTACTAGTCTAACGGTTAATATGCTTCGCAAACCCCACATAATTGCCGGCCACCATCCTAGTCAAGCTCGCTTCATTATTACATCTGGACGTATTTTTGTACCTGTAGCGGGGTGTGAACCTCGTATAGTTATAGTTACCATAGTTACCGGCAAGCATTCCAGGTACCCTCGAACGGTTCTAGAATACATAACAGTTTACACGTATACGATGACACTCCATAAAGCATCGGCCAGCACCCCTGTTATTCTGGATCCATTATAGTATCTGTTGCAGCTCATACCTACACGTCGCAGGCGTACCGCTTGACACGTGACATTCGCTTTTAGATTGTAACACTGTCGCTTCCTACTGATTGTTTGCAGGGCAAAGTGATAGTGGACAAGTGCGTATGGCAGTGGGGTGGTATGCACTGGGATATGGACTAGAACCATGCGGAGCGTACACAGTCAATGCGGAGCTTGGTTTAGAGACATGCATCACACACATATATATATATATATATATATATATATATAGTAATGTATATATGTATATATATATATATATAAGTATATG